AATTCTGCCAGCTAAGTTTTTTAGCATGCCATGGAACAAATCTTTGCTGGCTATCCATGTGCAATCATAGTGGATGACATTGTAGTGGGTGGACATGGCGAAGAGAAACATGACGAAAATTTAAAGAAAGTGCTGAATCGTGCCCGTGAAGTAAACTTGAGACTGAATCCTCAGAAGTGTAAATTTCCTCTGTGAAGTGAGCTATGTGGGCCACATTTTCACAAATAAGGAACTACGAGCAGACCCAGAGAAGACAAAAGCAATCACAGAAATGCAGCCACCAGACAATGTTACTGCATTGCAACGTTTCCTGGGTATGATAAATTCCTTAGGAAAGTTCATACCGAATCTCAGTGAGCTGTCTGCACCCCTGCATGAGCTGACCTGTAAAAACACAGAATGGTGCTGGTATAAACAACATCAGGATGCTTTTGATAATCTGAAGCAGATGATTTCCAGTCCACCTACCTTAAAATACTATGACGTCCAAACACCTGTCACACTCACCTGTGATGCTTCCCAGTTCGGCATAGGAGCTGCATGTCTTCAGGAAGGTGCTCCAGTCGCATATGCGTCACGGACATTGACTTAAACAGAAGTGCATTATGCACATATTGAAAAAGAACTTCTGGCAGTGGTATTTGTATGTACAAAATTCAATGACTACATTTATGGTAAACAAAATCACATTGAAACAGACCACCAGCCACTAGTAACCATCCTCAAAAAGCCCATCTACACAGCGCCGGCCAGACTGCAACGTATGATGCTAAGATTGCAGAAATACAACTTTACATAAACATACAAGAAAGGGAAGCAGATGTACCTTGCTGACACGCTATCATGTTCCCCTAGAACAGGCCCAAATGAACCCTATGATGATTCAACTGACTTTGAAGTCATGTCAGTCCAGCATGTTTTATCTTTCAGGCTAAATGAGTTGCGCACTCACACTGCACAGGACCCAGTTCTTGAAGGGACAGAAGCTAGTGGTTCCTGAATCACTACGTACCCTAGTAGCAAAGAATTCTGGCCCAGATTTGGCATAAAGCTGGCACAGCAGGCATTCATCCGGCACTGGCATACTGCATGTGGGTCAAACATGGCCCGGGTTTGGCAGAGGTGGCACCGTCATTAAGGTGGCACACAAGATTTGGGCCAGATGAAAAATGTAGTATTTGGCCCAGATTTAAAAATTTGATAAGTGGGCCATGTGAGTTTGGCCAGTCTTGACACACATTTAAAATACACTAAAATCATTTTTGAGTAAAGAAAAAAAATTCTACCAATCAGGTCACTTTGAGAAAAAGCGTGCCCATAGTGTGCCTAAAGCGCATCACTCTATGGGTTTACCAATTTCATTGCAATCGTGACACACCAACCTATCTGGCCCAGTTCAGGCCCAGTTATGAGTTATTAACTTGGCTGAGACTTGGCCCAGATATGGTCCATGTTTGGCCCTTGTCTGGAAGCCAGATTTGGTCCTGTCATGTACCGTAATTCACTGCGGCATGTGGGCCAAGCAAAACCTGATTGTGTGGGCCAGAGCTGGGCCAGAGAAATTTTGCTATGTGGGTAGTGAATATATCACAATTATTCACAGAGGTCACCCTGGCCTTGAGGCAACTAAACGCAGGGCACGAGGTATTGTTTTCTGGCCTTCTCTGAACAAAGACATTGAAAATCAGTGCTGTTGTGCTCCATCTGTAACAGTCAGAGGTCCCATCAACAAAAAGAGCCTCTTCACTTACACTACATCCAAGATCTCCCATGGTCAACAGTAGCTACAGATATCTTTGAGTGAAATGGTCAACACTACCTTGTATTAGTTGACTCATATTTGGGATGGTTTGAAATTGATTTGCTTCGGGACATGTCCTCTAGCACAGAGATCACAAAACTAAAAAGGCACTTTTTTGTTCACGGGAGTCCAAACAAGGTCCTTACGGACAACGACACCCAATTCACAAGTCAACGATTTAAAGAATTCGCTGCAGCTTGGGATTTTACACACATCACCAATAGCCCAGAATATCTACAAGCTAATGGGCTAGCTGAGAGGGCAGTGCAAAGTGCAAAACAACTAATGGAGAAATCCAAAAGAGATGGATCGGATGTGTTTCAAAACTTGCTCAACATCAGAAACATTCCACGTGATCAGACTCTGGGTTCTCCCGCAGAGAGATTAATGTCTAGGCAGACTCGAACAACTCTACCAGTTATCAATCTGCCCTTGTGCCAGCCTCGAAAAACAATGTTTCTGTCAAGGAACAACTCTCGAGGAAGAGGCAATATCATAAGCAATACTATAACAAATCTAGTTAAGCACTGCGACCACTTTCGCAAGGTGAAGTAGTGAGAGAACATTGCACCTCACAAGAAACCAAGAAGAAACCATTTGTTGAACATTCAACAAAAGTTGTTCCCAAAACTCCTTACATAACCAAAGTTGGTTGTCTTTACAAATCAAACCCAAAATACATGGACTGAGATGAAAAGAAAACACTCAATCGCTAAGTAACAATACTGAATGTATGAAAGTTGTTTAAAGCTTAAAATTTGAGCTGTTAAAAGTTTTATAGCCTCTCTTTAAGCTCAGTTTACCTTTTAAAAACATTTCTCCAAAAAAAAAAAAAAACTAAAATTTTTATTTAGTTTGCTATGAAATAATCTTTTGTCAAGAAGAAACTGTCAAAGTTAAAGAAGGAGGATGTAGAATGTGTTCTGTCACTTTAAATGCTCTGTTCTTAAACCGGCTACTGCGCATGTAACAGTGATATGGCAGAAAGAAAAAGCCATCATGTAAAGTTATGTGAACTGTTTGCTGTGCATAACTAAAAGCTGTTAAATGTTATTATGGTCTCCTGGCTCGTCATCTAACAATGTCTGATCAACAGACAACTTAACTAAAGAGTGTGAGTGGCGTAGCTCCTATAGTGCATGGCATCATCAACCCGGCTCAAATCCAATGTCTGCTGAACTCATTCTTCTTTTTCTCTCTCCATTACATATCAGATTGGAAATACATTTATTTTAGATAGGACAGAAACAAAATATATTTTACTGTATTTTTCTCACAAAAACATCAGACACAATGACTACAACATGTAACTGATTGTAAAGTCAGTTGTCCAACTAACTCATCACATGAGTAAACACCTGTCACACAGAATTGCAATTTAAAAATCAGAACTCATCTGGTTCATAACTGGTTCACGGCCCACCCATGTTTTTTGGTTGTTTATCTCCCTCCATATTGTCCATTCCTCAAACAACTTAAGAAATTTTTTCTTCCTGGGGATGGAAAGCGCATGACCGAAATCCACACTTTTTTTTTTTTTTTTTTACTGTAACTGTATTCTGTAAATACTTCTGTTGATGTATATGTAGACCCCGTTATGTGAAACTTGTGTTGGTTGGGATGAACACTGTGCACACTGTCTTTTACAGTAAATTATATTTGGTCCCATGTATTTGTGTGCTTTTTATAAAAACAATATTTTGAAATATTTTACAATGCACTTCTGTAGGCCTATATGTACTGTCTGTAGTAAGTGTAACACTGGCTCTACAGGCTTTCATCTAACAGGTGCTTTGACTTTATTGTTCATTCTACCGTTGTTTCCTGGTCATATGATGAATTGTCTGTAGCTTGTACTCTCTGTTGTGAAACCACAGCCTTCAGGTTTCAGAAGGATTCAGATATTAGAGGGAATTAGGGGTAAGTTGCACCACTTTTTATTTAAATGCAAAGAAAAGAATTACAATTATATTTGTAAGTGTTTAGTGTCTATATTTATTTACATTATTTCTGGTATTTAAAGAAAACAAAGTTGTTGAAATGTTAATTAGTATTTTGATTTGAGTCACTGTCTGGACCTGCAATATCTAAAAGAAAGTATTTTAATTTATAAAGGAGATTTAAAGACTGATATTGTGGTTTTTTAAAGAATGATTTATAGAAGGCATCTACTAAAATGTAAACACTTTACACGACAGTAACTATTGTCTGTCATATTAAGAACAAGAGTCTTTTGATGAAATTTAAGAATCACAGTGCAGCTTTATGATACTCATTAAGTGTCATTTAAATCTTTTTACTTTGTCCTTCAAGCCACTAGCTTTGTTAGCAAGATTTTAGTAAGCACAAGTCTGACTTTCACAGGTTTCATTTTGACATGAATATATCCGTTCAGCCAACTGACAATGAAGCTTCAAAATGTTGATTGAGTTAACTGAAACTTGCATTTAGTAAGTGTATAAAACTACTTTGGAAATAAAACATTTGATAGAGACACCATAATAAGGCATTTTATGTTGCACTCGTAGGTTTTACAGATTGCCTGTTAACCAACAGAGAATAGAACAAGCAAAAAAAGTATAGCTGGGCTTTTGTTGATGAACGCAACATGACTTTACCCAGTAACTTTGAGATATTTATTGCACTTCAAGGGATAGTTCAGCTCTAAGTGAAAGTTTACTCAGTGTTTACTTGCAGTTCTTTATTCTGTTGAAAACAAAAGATGAAATTTTGAAGAAAGCAGGTTTCCAGCTTTCTTTTTTTGTGTTCTTCACTCAAACAGGTTTAAAAAAATGAACAGTGAGAAACTAACAGGATGTTCTATGTATTTATTTATTTATTTATTTAAAATGTCATGCGTATCTATAGCTGTAGTTATAATAGCTGACTATTTATAATGTCAAATTGCAACATATCTGACTATGTTTACAATAGTTTTAAGCTTTGTTTTCTTCATTCATTAATTTTCCTTCGGCTTAGTCCCTTATATATCAGGGGTCACCACAGAAGAATGAACCGCCGACTATTCCAGCATATGTTTTACACAGCGCATGCCCTTCCAGCTGCAACCCAGTAATGAGAAACACCCATACACTGTCACATTCACACATACACTATGGCCAAATTTGTTTATTCAATTCACTTACAGCGCATGTCTTTGGACTGTGGGGGAAACCTAATCACCTGGAGGAAACCCATGCCAACATGGAGAGAACATACAAGCTCCACACAGAAATGCCAACTAACCCAAACGGGACTCAAACTAGCGACCTTCTTGCTGTTAGGCGATAGTGCTCACCACTGAGCTGTCCACCTTTGTAATGTTATATTAGATATTTGTCCCCATGGATAATCATATTTCATGAATTCAGTTGCTAATTTAAACAAATGTAATATACTGCCTGTTAAAGTAATATGTAAAGCACAGCGTCTAGTCAACTGGACAGATCTCCACACAGCTGTTAGTGACCTGTATGCCATTACAGTCTTTCTGAAATTTTGCATCCTTCCCACCATGAGTGAAACGGATAAACCGAACTCCGGGTCCATACTCCTTAAAGACATGGCTCATCTGAAATAAAGCAGAACAGTAGTCAGTTTTAGTCAGTAACATTATTATTAAATAAACTATTAGTAAAATTCTGCTCACTTGACGCCATGGATAAACACCTCCTTTGGGAAAGAACACTTTCTCAGGCTCAAAGGTACAAACAGGGTTCATCTTCTGATCGAGCAACTCCACACAGATCTGATATTCACTTCTATGATCAGAGCGTGGAGCATACCTGTAGAAAAACAGGTCATGTGTGTAAAGCACATTAAACAAAGGTATTTAAGGTAGTTCCTGATTTAAATTTAGTTTGGATCTAATAATAAAAAACAATCATTTTCTCTTCATCATGTTATTTTAGAAATATAAGAAGAAACTGTTTTAATTATTGGGAATGGTGGTGATTGTATGGGTGTTGGCCAGATTGGGTAGCTATATATGAACAAAGGAAAATTAAGACCTGCTAATAAAAAGATTTAGGCCTTTTAACAACATTTTGGTAGATTTAGGACTTTTTAAGACCTAAAATTTAGCTTTTGAGATTTAAAACTTTTTAAGATCCCACGAACACCCTGTATATGCCAGTAATCATTAAAACATTAACGGGGTGGTCCACGGCGATATCATATTTTAAACTTTAGTTGGTGTGCAATGTAGCAATGAACGAATTTTTGGGGCGATGCCCAGCGCCATGCATTTTAGAATTCGCAAGTCAGCGGCTGTCCGCGGCGCCTAGCCACGACTCATGTAGGGGAGAATCACGTCAAACTTATGAAATGTGAGGGCTCATGGAATCAACTTAAAGGTGAGTAATGGACTGTCTTTGACAGCTTGTGACATTATATATCATCTGACACATTATACAATTACATGGACACCAATACTCTGATTTTAATATGATTAAGACAATACTCTGATCACGAGTCTACTACGCAGTTTGTGTCTGTGGTCTTTTAAAATAATCAAAAATCACTGTTTACGGAGGAAGCATTTATAGGCTGGGGACGCAATGATGTTAATGGGTCTATGTGCTATAACATGTAACTGAGAATCGTGAATGTAACATTCAAAAAGCAGCTCATGTAAACACCTGAATCAAATTACTGACTTATTCTGATTAAGGCAAATCATTAGATCACTGATGTCCATGTAAAAGTAGTAACAAGCCCCAAACCAGAAAAAAGGTTTTCCCTGATTTTGATGACAGCCTTTCCACAGGTTAGTGGTAAGCAAATGTAATGTTTAAATCTTGCATTTATGCTAACAAACAAATTATCGAAAGAAATATATTAAAACAATTCAAATATATAAAACATGAATTGATGTTTACTTTGAACGTGTTATAAATATACATTTATATTGTTCAATTATAATGATTATTTATATATATATATATATATATAAAAAATTGATATATATTTATATATATATTTATATATATATATATATATATTTTTTTTTTTATATAAATATATATTTATATATATATATATATATATATAAATATATATAAATTTTTTATATATATATAAAATATATATAATATAATATAATATATATATATATAAAAAATTGATATATATTTATATAAATATATAAATAAATATATAAATATATATATATATATATATATATATATATATATATATATATATATATTTTTTTTTTTTGTCTTTAATTTTGTGGCTAAAAAGTATCGGTTCAGGCATCGTTTTGGCACCAGTTTCGTTTTAAAAGTATTGATTTAGCACTGGTATAGAAAAAAAACCCAAACGATACCCAACCCCAGTAAAGGCTGATTTATACTTCTGCGTCAAACACCGGCGTATGCTACGGCGCTGACGCATAGCCCATCGCCGTGGCCGTCGCCGTCACTGACGTGCACCTCTCAAAAATTGTAACTACACGTCGCAACAACGCGTAGCGCAAGCTCTGTGATTGGTCGGCTTGCTAGCGCCGACGAGTCTGGGCGGGACCGAGAGCCGCGCGAATGGCGCGAGCGATTGTTTACAAGTGTGGAGTCCCGTGAAGGAGCTCCGGATGGAAAGTTTTGTTCTTTGTTTACCTCATGGTTAAAGTTGTTGCACGTCCGCTGGATCCTGCCTCAAAATGAGCGAGTTTGAGTCACTTGTACATCCAGGAAGTGTTCAGAATAGCAAAACAGAAGCAAAGAAACTCGACACAGAGGAACATTTACACCTCACTGCCCACTAGCGTTTCGGAAGTGTTAATGCAGACCAACGGAGACAGCGCGCAGAAGTATAAATGCCCAACCACGCGCGTTGCCTGCGCCGTGAGTTGCGCCGGTCACAAGACGCAGAAGTATAAACCAGGCTTAACTAAGGGCATGTCAGAGGTGCTGTTATGTTATAGCAGAGATAGAGCTAACATGCTGTCCAAGCGCTGCTATTTCCACAGAGCTTCGTCTGTTTCTGTATTTGGGCTTTCAGAGGACACGACACAAAGACAGAAGTGCTTACAGTTCAATATTAATTATGTTCCAGAGAATCATAAAATACACAGCAAGCATGATTTGAAAAACATCTTCCAGAATCTCTCCCAGTTCAGTGCTGGATTCGGCTAAAATCTCCTCAAAGCAGAAGCTGTGATCCACAACCTGTAAGTGTTTTTTTTTTGTTAAAATTGATCATGACATGTACAGTGTCTATCTAGTGTTAACGGTATGCTGTAGCAACGATGTAAACAACAGGAAATGCTGTTTTGCACCGCAAACGATTTAGCTACTAATTCATATTTATCAGTCAAACTGCTGTAAACACACACACACACTTCACCGGCATGTGCAGCCTCTCTCAATGTGTGTGCGTGACTTTGCATTGCTTCTCTTTAGGCAGATTTTTCATGCGTTTTACATTTCAGATAATGAAGTCGCAAAAGATATGCGGATGATTCATATAACTTGCACATGCATATTCCAGATATATGTGAAAGACGTTGTGTAATGCATTGAGTTAAAAAAATACAGGAGAGCTCGTCTAACTCGTGTAGCAGCAGAAAAATAAATCAAGTGCTTTATTCTTCCGTCAGCAATATTACGATATATTACAGAAAAAAACTTAATCCAAGCATCAGAGAAAAAGAAAAAGTCCCATGCACATGTGCTTGTTACACACGTCTACAGAAAGTTCACACATTCTCACACACACACACACACACACACACACACACACACACACACACACACACAATGGCGATGTCTCTTAAAGGAGCCGCAACCCATTTTCACTTGTTACAGGCACTTGTCAGATTTTATTATAGAGCAGGCAGGAGGTTGACTGAGGTTTACACAGCAGAAAAGTGCGTGCTTGTAGGTGTAATATCTCAGCACTTTATCACATCCTCCAACCCACCAGGGGGCGCACATATTGCCCTATACTCCTCAACATTAGATGGCAGTAGTGACTCTTGTTCCTCTAAACTCTCTTGTAATCAGCGTAATCACCACCACCTGTTTTTTGCTTTATATAAGACTGCTTTGTATCCTGCTCTATGTTCAGTCCTGAACCCAACCTCTTGCTGCCTCGTCCAGTTTCCAGTTAAGTTGTTCTCAAGACTTTTTGCTTGCTATTTTGCTGTTTAATTGTTATGAGACCCTCGTGTCTATTTTATTTTGTATGTATTTTTAGGAAGCTCGGCTTCCCTATTTTTGTTGTACTTTTTCAACCCTGGCTGTAGAGAGATATTATCTCCTTTTTGTCAAATTCACTTCAGTAAAGGCTGCATTATTTTTTGGAAATTCATACGTTGTGGACTAACTTTGTTCCTCCTCTGCTCTTGGGCCACCAGTTGCTGGCTTGGCTCATCTAGTAAGAACTACTGCTAACCACACCGTAGACGCGGGTTCGATCCCCACTCAGATCATTACAGTAGGGGTGTGACATGGAGCCAATACGTGAATTGCAGCACATTATGACAGATGACCTATCACTAGGTCACTTGAGGGCGGGCCTTTCAGAAGAACTAGGAAATATATCAGTGGTTTTCATGTTAGCTGAGTAGCTGTGCATAATCAAAGTAAGATAAATGAAAAAAAATATTTCCTTTAAGTGAAACATGAGCACACATTGCTTTGCATCTTATAAACACAACCAAGCCTTAAAATTACTTTCTGGACCACCCCTTTAAGTAAAGATCATGTTCCGTGAGGTCATTTTGTGGTAAATTTCTTACTGTAAATACATCAAAACTTCTGATTAATACTATGCACTGCTAAGCACTTTTTCTGATTTTCTTATTATTTAGTTTTTTTTTTAGAACCCGGCATCAGACAGTTTCATCTCATCCCATCCAGCAGTCACAGGGCGTCAATATGACATCACACTGACATTGTACCCCAACATTGTGGGGTAAATGAAAATCAGGTTGACGCCAGAACCCAACGTCCTAAAATCAATTAAAAATCAACATTTAATGATGTTACAGCTTGACATTGTGTGGACATCACCACTATGACGTCTATCAGACGTTGGATTTTGGTAAGCATACCTGATGAATAAATCTCAGTACTTGACGTCAATATGACATTGGTTTAAGATGTTGGATTTTGGTCACTTTCCAATACAACCTATAATAAACCAAATATCAACATAATTTGACATCAAAATAACATTGTCTTTAGACGCTGGCTAGACGATGAGTTTTGGTCACCTGATGTCACGACCTAACTCTAACATATGAACATATTTTGATGTTGTGTGCCTGCTGGGGGCACATAAAGCTTCCCTGGAGTCTGAATAAGAAAAGTAGAAGACAAAAAGTGAAGTAATGTTTCACATTTGTGACAGGACGCAAAAATCTTTAAAGTATGTAGAGCCAATCTGAACAACTTGATTAAACACACCTTACACTCTTTTCCTACTCATCCACACAATGCGCGTAATATAATATAATTGTCTGTTAAATATTACAACTTAATTGAAAAACCTTCTTTCACAAACCACTTTTAGGTTATAGTCAAAATGTATTAAACATGTCAGACTTTGTCAGCATTTGCAGCTATAACAGAAAAATTTACATTGTCATAGCGAATTATATTCAAAACCTTAACGAAAACTCAAGATATAATAATAAAATTAGGTGAGCACATGGAATTCTAAAAAAGACAGTTTTTATTTACAAAATCGGTGGCTTTCAAAATACTGTATTTCGATGGCAAATTTCCTTAAATGGCTAAAAAAGTCCCCCTTTCATCAATGTTTTAAGTGGTAATAAGCTTACTAAATAATAAAGAATATACTTTAGTACTTGAGCCCTAAACATTGCAGCTAGATTGAAGATTTATTTTGCCTCTATTGTGTAGGAAACTTGACAGAAAGAGTGGAAAGGAGTGGATAGTACCACAAGCCAAGACTAAATCAAGCTTATGTAGATACTTCCAAAAGAGACAAAACATTCATCACAAAGATTATTCACAGACAGCTCATTCACAAGAATTATTCTCATTTACGGAATCCACCAATTCAGATACTGTAGTACAAACAGAGAGTTTGTGTGAACGCTCACCAGTCTGAGATTTTGATATGAGGTTGCCGTTGATCCATAAACATATCACTGTAGCCCTCTTTCTGCAAATCAATCAGCTGTTGCTTCAAACACAACCTGAGAACAATTATTTTGGTGACAAAATGTGAATGGAATTAGTGCATTTATAATGTTGTAACATTGATTAAAGTAAAGGATGTAAAATATCAGATATACCCGTAAGATGTTACAAAACATGTATCGACCGGAAATGTTCGCATGTTTTCAGCTGTCACCCATTGGTGGCCTCTGTTTTCGACAAGCTCCCATTCTTGAAGTCCAGCTAATAAGTACACCAGAAAAGACATGTTACTTAAAGCTAGTGACGCTTATTGTTGTATTAAGTATATTGTTGTATTAAGTTAAGTAAGTATATGAAATTACCTTGTGCGCTGGGATTCTTGATCAAATTACGATTTATGAATCTGGTGCTTTGTGTGGAAAAAGAAGGTACGTTTTAAATGTGGACAACTGTATATTACTAAACATAACCTGTATTAGCTCATTTCACATTAACTTTAAGTACCTCTTCCAAGCAGCAGTACCAACTCTTAATATGTAGTTCAATCAAAAGTGAAAATTCTGTTATTAATATGTCATTCTAATTCCCTGAGACTTTCACTCATGTTTGGACTACAAATCAAGATATTTTAGATGGTATCCAAGAGCTCACCATCATCCATGCACAGTAATGGTCCCAACAAAGTAAAAAAACAAAAACAAAATTGGACTCAGTGTCAGTATGGGGCACGCATTCAGGAGAGCATGTTGTGCTCCGTCATGCTGCTGATGTATTACATTGTATGTGCCTGTGCTTTATATCAAACAGAGGAAGTTATGTGCAGGCTTCCGGGGTATACATTAGTGCACAGCGTTTATGAAAGTGCGCCCTATACTGACACCAAGGAGAAGAAACTGTTGAATAAAGTCTTAAGTCTTGGTTTTGTATTCATGTAGCTTTATAATAATCAGGTTGAACAAGGTTTAACACCACTTAAGACACATGGACTGTTTTTAAAATGTGTTTGGAACCTTTTCTTGACTTTGAACAAGTCAGAGCTATTGTGGTCTATGGAGGGTCAGGGAGCCCTCATATTCCATGCAACATTTCTGAATTTTTCTACCTAAATTGTTCCAATTTGCACTTTTTTTTCATTGTTAATGTTTTGTTTCACAATAAATGGCTCCAAGCATTGTTTTTCTGCATTCTGCATTTACTTTTTTAAAAAGTAATAAAAAATGTTTTAGAAAGCTCCACCTCTCATCATCTGGACAGATCTCCACACTACTGTTAGTGACTCTGATTCCATAATGACCTGCCCAGTAGTGTGTATCCTTTCCTCCGTGAGTGAACCTGATAAATCGAACTCCAGCTCCATAGTTTTTAAAGACATGTGCCGTCTACAATAGAGCAGAACAAACAGGGACAGTTAGGCTTTGACTGTTCATTTGATTATAGATAATTGGACATATCTGTGGTGCCCAAACTCGGTCCTGAAGGGCTGGTGTCCTGCAGATTTTAGCTCCAACTTACCTGCATGGATGTTTCTAGAAAGCCTAGTAAAAACTTGATTTGCTAACCCAGGTTGTCTTTTTGACGATGGAAGTAAAACTTTGCTGCACACCCTCCAGGACCAAGTTTGGGCACCCTTGAGGCCATTAAAAAACTTAAAACTTGTAAAATGTTATTGTGAGTTTTTCATTTCATAAGGTTCTTGTTGCAGCATAGATTATGTAATTAGTGTGAGTCCTTCTATATAGTGTGTCTTAATCAGGCAGTGTACATCATTGATTTAAAACAAACCAGATGTTAAACAGGCTTATTCAAAATTTTAAGTGCCCGTGCATATAGCCTATTGGACCTTCTGTATTACTTTACTTACTTGACACCACGGCTGAGAGTTCCCAAAGTGAAATACAACTTTTTCAGGCTCAAAGGTACTGATGGGTTTGTTCTCCTGATCAAGCAACTCCACACAGATCTGATACTCACATCCACAATCAAAACGTGGTTCATACCTGTGCCAGACAAATATAAAATTAATGTGACACAAACAAAATCGTAAGTTCAAGGCACTTGAAAAGTAAATGGAGAAAGTTAAAAAATGTTTAAGAATTCCTGAACCAAAGAGCCCCGACACATCAATTACTGCTGAAGCACTTTTTGTTTGATTCTGGATTTATAAAATAAATGTTTTCTTTTTAACAAAGCTGTGCATTCATAGTAAAGCCTATTTGAGTTTAAAGCTTATACAGTGTTTTTTAACAACCCAGGCTCATTCTGAAATCGTAGTCCTGTGGACGTTTCTAGAGACCGCGAATTATGTCTCGGGAGGTATGTATTTTTGCAGTTTTTGTTTTCACAAATCCCCAAGAAGCTGCTTTGTGTGCTTTTTCGCATCTCAAATGTCTCTCGCGAGTGCCGCTCGCGCTGCTGCTGACCGGCTGAATGATTGACTGGGCGACTGGTCAATCGACGCACACACCCTCCTCCTTCCCTAAACCCAACCAATTTTACCGATTGATCCGCCCACCCATTCACTTCCCCTAAACCAAACCGATGGTTTAAAATAAAGCAGTCCAGAAAAAAAAGCCCTCGTCAGATTTTTTTACCACGTTTTTGGATTTTACCACATTCTCACCCTGTTGTTCACTCGTTCGTTTTATTCTTTGTATTCTGTTTTTGTCTTACCTGATTTCTGGAACCGCTCTTCCCCGGACTCAAACCCGGTCGTCGTCATCAACTCCTTCTCTGCGTCTTAAGTCCGCTGACGTACACTATGAGCTAACCGGACAAACTGGTTGTGGCGGGAAAGCCCTCCACGCGGAGGTAAGCAGTCAGACAGTGAGCACCAAAAGGAAAGGCGTCATACCGCCCTGTATCGTTCACTTAATGAAATGCAGCCATACATACCTCCAGCTACGTAATTTGCGGTCTCCAGAAACGTCCGCGGGACTACATTTTCAGAATGAGCCTGGGTTGGTTTATAAAGGAACAGTTCCAGCAAAAATGAAAATTCAAGTCAATAGTGTTGTAATATTGCCTGTTAGAATTTCCCTATTCCTAAGGTGTTTGTTTTTTAATGTTTAGTCCAAAGTCAAAATAGCTTGGAACAACAGGAAGACAGAATACATAGGTGAACCATTCATTTAATGACATATTTAAATATGTGTATAACAGAGGCCGGGTAGCAAAGTGTTATGCAGGTAAACCTCTCTCCTCTGACCTCTAAAGGTGGTGTAGCGACAGACGCTATAGGCCATGGTCTTTAGTCTCCCTGTTAGAGCAGCCGACTTCAAGCCAAAGAATAGCCATTTCGATCCCAGTTCAGAGCGGGTTTGGTGCAGAAGGACCGGTGGGTTACATGTGGGGGATCATCCGGGATGGGAGTGAGGTTTAGGGGGGTGAGTGTAACGAGGCCAGCTCGGGAGAGAGCCCTGAGCTCAAAAGGTCCTTGAGCCCTGGGCTCCCTCCCGTTTGCAAGGCGAGAGGGGAGCCTTGAGCTCAGGCAGATCTCGACAACTCCACTCTTGATAAGAGCTGATGACTAAAATGAATGCTATGAAGAGATATGCTGCAGGGGGAGGGATTGACTGTAGTGCTAAATCTAGATTTATCAATTCATTTGAAGTGTATGTTTTTGGAATGTGGGAGTAAACCGGAGAACCCGGGGAAAACACACGCGAGCACAGGAAGAACATGCAAACTACACACAGAAAAGACCGCCGGCCTGTTAAAGGACTAGAACCGGTGTAGTATGCTGTAAAGCAACAGTGCTAATCACTGGGCTACCATGCCACCCTATGGAGGGAAAGGTAAAGAGGTAGGGGTGGAAGGGGGGGATTCTTCAAATCGAAGATGACTGTAGTGAAAAAACACTGGCTCTTTATAGTGGGTTAGGAATGGCCTGATTGGTGGATCATACATGCTAATGCAGAACCAGCCGTGTTCAATCATAATCACGTGATCCTCTTGAAATTAGTTTATGAATAAACTTCACCAAGCGACAGACATTAGACGCCATGGTCTTTAGTCTCCTTATTAGAGCAACCGACTCCCATGCATAGAATTGCCGGTTCAATCCCAGCTCAGAGCACGTTGAGTGCAGTTAGACCAGTGGGTTACAAATGTTTTACATAAAACAAAACTAAGAAAAATATATTTGAATGAATACTCGCCAGTCTGATATCTTGATATGAGGTTGCACCTGATCCATGAAAGTATCACTGTAGCCTTCTTTTTGCAAATCAATCAGCTGTCGCTTCAAACATAACCTGAGAACAAAGATTATTGCTGATTGGTGTTTAATTATTGATTTATTATTTAATTGCAACACTGACTGAAATTTAAGGATCTAAATGATCAACCGTACCCAAAAGACGTTACAAAGCATCTGGTGACTGTGTCTGTAAGAGGTTTGCTATTTTCTGCTGTCACCCAGCAGCCGCTTCCACTATGTACCATCTTCCATCCTTGAAGTCCGTCTAATGAGAACATAAGAGAAGTTACTTAATGCAAAATAGAATGATTATAGCAACAGTCTTATTGTACAGTCTTCACCTTCTGCACTGGGATTAATCAGCAAGTTGGATTTCGTGCATCTCAACCTACAGGTGGAAACAAACTAAAAGGTTACACAATATAAAAACATTCTGCTGTACTGAAACACAATTAACGGACATCAAACTTGTGAACCATAAATGTCTTGCAGTGAAGTGTCTTGTTCTTACAGGTTTATTTGTTTTGTCCCTAACAAATTTACCTTCTTCGTGTACGAGAAGGCACAGTCATTTTAATCTTTTTGACTTGAGATTTACGATCTCTTTCACTTCCATTCATTTTTGAACGTTAAAACAGCTCGCTATGCTGCTTGATGTTGCAAACTGATATTTTCTTATTATATTATTCTGCTTTGTCTGTATAGTCAAGCAAACACTTGCTTGTATTCTTAGTCATTTCTCCCATAGGCAACTGAATCGGAAGTTCTAAAACAAATCGCAAAAACGAGCACACTTCCGCATTGAAGAATAAGGTCAGTAGTGTTTTTGTGATGAGTCATCAGTCAGACATGTTGAAAATCTGTTAGCGAAGCCATTGAACCAAATGAAACTTGGACATTTTGCTGATTATTGCTGCTGAAAATGATCAATTATTGTCATGTTTTGGTCTGTACTAATCAGACCAAAGAAACAAAAACAAAAAAACATTTGTAGTACTAAAGATGAACAAAATTCACAAACAAATCAAAAAGAAAACATCCTATTTATTAAATCAGTTTGAACATTTCAGTTTTCCCTCTTACCAAGAGGTTCTCTGACAGCTTATATGCATTTTCCCATGGATTAGACAGCATAAGCAGAACAATGTATTCGGTAGTAAATTACTGTGCAATCCAATGCTGGTATTTACATCCAAGTATCTAGATTATGACAGAGCATACAGGTAACTGACTATATCTGTAGGAGCCATTTGGCAACTGTTCATTGTTCCACTAGGTGGGGCTCTCTAAACAGGCTTTATAAGCATTCACACAGAGAGACACACACACTTACACACAAACAAACGTGCACACACAGCCATATACACACACACATTCATTCATGCTTTAGCATGACGGTTTGTTTTGTTTGTAAGTCACGATATGTGGCAGTGTTTGACTTCTACGAACGGAAACTTACCTGGAAGGAAATTTGTGAACTATTGGAGTTTGCAACTGCAATAAACATAATTATCTACGGGCACAAGTAAGACTGTTCATTTACACTTCATCAGCCAGAGGACAGTGTGCGTCAGCTGGGTGCCTGTCTAACAACATCTCAGGGACTTCAAGCAATAGGCTTAGCCTCTACAATATCATAACATGAATGAAACTCCATATATGGTAAATGTGATTATTTCCCAATAAATACAGTAAGGGCTACTTATGTAAAAAAATTTCAAATTGTTTTTGAGAAGCGTTTATTTTTTTTTACTTTATTTTTACATTAGACACATAAATGATCACTGTTTTAATCTACTGGCATCGAATGCAAAACACATTTTCATGGATGGTTACTTGGCGCCATCATGAATATCACTTTAAACGTAAACCATTGTCAGTAATAGAGCAACAATGATCATGAGTTTGAGAAAGGCACATCTGTTTCATATCAGTTTATTTGTGGCTTGTCTATGTGTCTAGTGAGCTGCATCAATAGCTTTGTGGTTCAGAGGTAAAGTTATATGTCAAGTTATTATGAGTTTAATCAAATGAGTTTTATCAAAGCATTGTGTTTACTTAATGTGTAGTTCAATGAGAATACTGCCAAAATCCTATTATAATTATGAGAGTGCATGTAAACATACTAATTTACTGCACTTTAAAATGCTTTAAGGGTGCTTTTACACCTTTCTATTTAGTTCGGTTGAATCGTACTAGTTATTTTTCCTTCTTGGTGCGGTTTGTTTGGACAGGTATAAATGCAGCAATCAAACTCGAGTGCGCACCAAAAGGGGACCAAAATAACGTATCGAGACTTGCTTGAAGAGGTGGTCTCAGTACGCTTTTAAACGAACCCTGGAGAGTATGATCCGTACTAAAACAGACCCAACCACAAAAAGTACTGCACCTTTTGGACTAATCCAGCTACCGTAGGCTGATGCGCTGTGCATTACGGGACATGGAGGAAAAATATTTGTTGACAGCACTTTACCAACAGAGAGTTAGTTGGTAATATTTCCGGAAGATGAGCATGTCGCAGTTTAGCTAAATTAATTAACGCCTCCTCCTGAAGTGACGAGCGATGCATTTAAACATTGTTTTCCAGCCGCGGCCGCTCTTTATTCTCGAAATGTATAGTTTGTCTAAAGCAGGGATACAATCAGCCAGCGCAGTCGTCCCTCCATAGTAAAAAGTGACATTTTGTCTCTGCCGGTTTTGTTTACTTGCGGGAGTTCATTGGCATTTTCTCCCACATGAATTCTGACCAATCAATAAGCAGTTTAGGAACTATGTTTAACAACATCAGGCCAATTAAAGATGTGGATTTTGTCAGATGACTGCATTTTGGTTCTTTTCAACTGGTTCGGACCAAAGCCAGCAGTGTGGTGTGAAAAAGACCCAAAGACGGCAGAAAATGCAACAATGTATCATTTATTGCCCTTGGTCCGACCAAATAAAGCGAATTACAGATGTAAAAGTACCCTAAAAGTCCTCATCTGAGAACCTGTGAAATCCTTCTGGAAAGTTGTACCTCTCTGCAGCTGGACAGATCTCCACGCTGCTGTTAGTGAGTCTTATTCCATTATGGCCCCTCAAGAACTGTGCCGACCCACCATGAGTGAAACAGATAAACCGAACACCAGGTCCATAATTTCGAAAGACACACGTTATCTGAAATAAAGCAGAACAAACACGGTATGGTTAAGCTTTGACTATTAGTTTGAGTAACTGAACCGTCAGTATTTTCTACTCACCTCACACCATGGATAATTGTCCCCATCTAGAACCATTCTATACGGATGATAGCTACTAATGGGTTGCATCTCCTCATTAAGCAGTTCCATAAAGACCCGATACCTAATTCCATAAGGAGCAGTTGTGGTATACCTGCAGATAAGACAACAAACAAATGTGTTTCTGTTTTTATTTTAGAGCCTAATTTAAAACAGGAACAGTGTTATACCCAAGCGGCAACATCCCGCTCTCCCCAGTGAAGCTAATACAGAAGTAACTGCAATTTATCGAAATTCCGCTAGTCCTGGCTCCATAATAGAGCACATTTCTAATGATCCCAATGTTAAAATGGCCAACTTTACAGCAGAAGAAAAAGGTGTTTACAGTCTAGTACAAAAAAGGATTTTGGTGCATATAGCTCAGGGGTGGCCATCCCTGTTCCTGGCGAGCCACCTTCTTGCAGATTTCAGTTGCAACCCATATTAAACACACCTGAACCAATTAATTAGGACCTAAACACCACGTGATAATTACAGGCAGGTGTGTTTGATATAGGTTGCAACTGAAATCTGCAGGTGGGTGGCTCTTCAGGAACAGGGTTGGCCACCTCTGATATAGCTAATATTACCCTTCATTAAAACTGCGAGGGGGTGAATTTTTTTTATAACTCGTCTGTTTAGTTTATATTAATTTATATTAAGTCTGCATAATTAAAGATGGGGCCACTTGAGTGACAACCAGCGAGACCTAGCTGTCACTTAAGTCACCTCACATGATTGCGGCTGATTAGCCGCTTAATTCATAAATCATAAAGCATATAAATCATATTTTTGTTTTAATTTTTTTTATGTGGCTTTACACTGTCAGTTGCCTTTTGGAATTATTTCCTACAATTACCAGATAATATAGCATGCTGTGTTCACCTAATTGTGTTCACAAACCCTTTAAGTGGCCTCCATTTCCCAGGTGAGTGAAATGATTTACTTATATACCATCTCTATAAATGTATTTGTTTTATTTAAGATCATTTATCATTTATACTTTTCTTAAGAACTTAATTGGACTTCAGAATCTGACAGATTGATTAGCTGTAGGCTATAGCTGAATTACCAACCTATGTCACACGGGTTCCCGGTTGCAAAAAGAGACTGGTTGCAATATCAAACATGTGGTGTTGTGTGGTAGGATGCCAAATTCAAACAGAAAACTTAACTTTTACCGTACACCACACTGCTTTAATGCCAACCGCAGACGTCTTTGGCTAAAAGAGAGCTGAATAAAGTGATGATCCTCATTAAAAATGCTCCACTCTGCAGTTCAGACTCAGCAAAAACATATGGTTACATATGGTTTATTAAACTGCGGACACTGAATGCTTAGAATGAAACGTGAAAGTATAAGTTCAAATACCCTGCTGTACAAGTGCCGTTCACTGTCAGAATGCAGTTTTGCTTGTTGATGATCATTACCCAGGCCTTGTATAGTCCCGTCTTTTTTTCTTGTCTTAGGCTCGGCAGAACCTTGAGTTTTACCACTACAATTCATTCATTATTTCTTTATTTATTGCCATGTCAGCTACTAAGGCTATTTTCATGGCAAGAGCATTTCAGTAATTAACAAACATCAACAGTAAAAATAAATAATTGAATATACAGTTTAAATAAGATTTTTCTGATTAATACATGTTAAAAATTCTAATACTTTTTCTGGTGTCACTTTGTTAAAAATGTCCTTAAGAGAGTTCTCATCATAAAAAGTCTTTCTGGAGTCATTAAAAGCAGGGCAGTCCAAATGTGTTTTACGGTCCATGGGGTCTTACAGTGCAAACATTGGGTAGGGTCTTCATCTTTGAGTAAAAAGTTATGTATTAATCTTGTATGTCCAATACGGCATCTGGTAAAAATTACTTGATCAGCTCATTACTTAAAATATCTTATACCTCTGTGTGTAATTTCAGGCTGGATTTTGTGTAGTTTATTGTTTTCCAGAGTATCCCACTCCTCTTGCCACTTATTTAAAATGTAATTATTAATAAAAAGTCTCATCTCTGATAGAGAAGTTTGACATTTGTTCACAGCTTGTTTTAGAGCAGCTTTAGCAGCTGCATCCGCTTGTTCATTCCCTGAAAGTCCAACATGTCCTGGTATCCACCAAAAAAATAAGGTAAAATTTGTTTTGTAGGTGGTGAACTTTAGTTAAAATATTTTTAATCAAGGGATGATCACTCTTTGAAGATTCCATCTGTTGAAAACATGATTTAGAGTCATGGTATTGGCATTCAAAGACTTGTAGGCCTTCTCTCTTGTAAAATCACTTGGAGCTTCAATAAGATGGTTGTATATTTGGGGCTGGATGCTTGGTCTTTTTATCTTATCCAATATCCATTGGGAGGCTGCTATTGCAGATGGACCTGTCAGACGAAAGTCGCTTACTTTAGTGTTAATTTTGCCGAATCACTATTCTTATCACTGGGTGACAAGCTGTTATAATATGCTGAAAGCATTATGTAAATAATATATATAATATGTAATCAATATAACTTATTTCTAAGACAACAGCAAACTCTGTACCACATCGGATGTCATTCCCTTGCTGTAAATGCAAGCACTACTGTTTTTTTCTGCAACCTCGCTGCGAGCGCATCCTGAATGTTTACTAACATGGTAATTCGTCTAAAAAACAGTCATCTAAAACGTTGGCCTAAAGTGTTATGCCTGGATTTAATAAATGACTTGCATTTACTAACACAGACTATATTTGAAGTATTTGGAAGTAACTTAGAAAACAACGTTTAGTAGCTCAATGTGTTACAACAGTGATTTTAAAAGTCTAAACACTTTATTGATATAGTGTACAACCAAGCAAATGTGGTCAGAACACAAATGAGTCGCAGGTAATAAAGTATTAAGCGTTTCTCCCAAAGAAAAGCCTGCCTGCAAAATGCTATTAGGCATCTGTAGCTCCACTGACACTCCGCCTCTGCCCTTTTTTGGTAACCCCCTCTTGGTGCAATGACGTGCAAACCAAATGACAACAGTTAGCCACGCCTACATGTAGCTACAATTGCGCTCTTCAGAAAACTATGGGTGATGTCAAGGATAAAACGTCCATATCTTTTACAGTCTATCGTTTTACCAGAGGGTAAGGTACAACCCAGGTAGGAGGCGACGTTCTCACGACCTTGCGCAACATTCTCTGAAAGTTCCCTAAAGGTAATGAAAGTCCAGATCCTTTACAGAACATTAGGGATGTTCTTAAAACGTTCTCTTTTAGTCATAAATAACGTTCCCAGTATGACTTCAGGAGGACGTTCTGTTTTGGTCATTCTATGGTGTTACATTTTAGTCCCTTTTCTAGGGGTACGGAGACAAAAGTAACAAAAGAAAATTAATTAGGATAATTAAAAAAAAATATCAAATTTTAATTGGATCGAATTAATAATAAATTAATATTTAATAATGTGCGTGGAGAATCTCCTTTTTCTCTATCCCAGCATACCTTCACTTTAGATATAATAATAACAAAAAAAAAAAACTCTGAAAAGAGATTTCAAAAGAAAAATATTATCTTTTATTCATTGTTTAACAAAATTCAATATTTTTTTTACATTTCCAGACAGGGTAAACAAAAACAAAGAGATACTTAAATAAATATTATCCTAACCAAAATCATTATGAGAGGGTAAGGCCAAAAATAACCAACAAAACAAAAAGCTTCCTAAATTGAAAAAAAGTTCTAGATTTCCTAATATATATATATATAAAGAAAACTCAAAACAATGACAATGCTCTTACCCCATAACAGGAAACTTAAAGGATAAACAAATAAATCAGCACTCGTCTCTCTACACGGCTTACTTGTCACATAAAGTTACACGTCACACTTATTTACACTACAATCTCACGAGATTCACAAGCTCACAGTTCTCAATATCCAACAATAATCTCTATCACACTATAATCACTGGGTTAGGGAAAACAGGGACTCTCTCCGTGCTTTGCCGCTCTGCCTCTTTATAAAGCCTGGAAGCTCAATCAACAGCAACCGATCCAATTTGCTCTGATTGAAAACGGGTGCGGCTGGTTTGGAACGCTGCTCAATGAGAGAGAGAAAGGCAGAGAGACAGAGAGAGAGAGAGAGAGAAATTAATAAAACAAAAGGAGATAGCAATAAGCTGCCACTCACACCAACAACTCTGAAAATTCCCTAAAGGTAATGAAAGTCCAGAACCTTTACAGAACATTAGGGATGTTCTTAAAACGTTCTCTTTTAGTCATAAATAACGTTCCCAGTATGACTTCAGGAGGACGTTCTGTTTTGGTCATTCTATGGTCACATAATAACGTTACAAAGAGAACCTTTTTAACATTAACAGAATGTTTTCACATGGTCCTCCTTTAGTTATATAATAATAACGTTTCCAATATGACTTTAGGAGGACGTTCTGTTTTGGTCAGTTTATTTATTCATTGTTGGTGCGTTGCTATTTTAAGGAACTAAAACAAAGTGTGTAATAGACAAGCTGAAAGCAGCGCAGATATCCTTACAAATGAAAACGAATTAAAGGAATAAAATATGACAAAAAATATTATTTTCTACATCAATATAAAAAACCACTGCCTTCATCTCAGGGAGCTTTTTTCAGTTTTTTTACGACAACTTGCTTTTGTATAATGTTATTATTGTTATTTATTATATGCATATTTACATGTGTTTATTAAAAACAAGCTTAGATTAGTCCACTTGTGGGTTTTTGGACTGTATGGGCCATATGAACAGGACGTGTTTTTGGATACAACTCAGTTTTCTGACCCCACTTCTATATTATTGCTTATTTATTTGTTTGCTGGAAATTAGAATTGAATTTAGAAGTAGTTTTTAAACAAATTTTTGCGCTTAGCAAACAAAGATAACTATGTAGGCCTATGGATATCTTCAGTGGAGTGTAACACTGTTTCCTTATCAAAAGATATTTGAGTGGCAGTTCTTTAAAAAAGATAAGTGGGATGCAGATATGGAGATTTATATTTTTTTTATTCAAAATATACTAATTTATAATTATTTTATAAGACTCAAGCATCACTGTATAGATCTGAAAGAAAAAAAATAGATACAAAAAGTAAGGCAACCTAATTGTAATTATTGTTATTTATGCTTTGTTTCAGGCAGCAGAAAGACAACTGGAGGATAGAGAAAGTGACTAAGACTCGCACACAAACACACAGACACAGCATATTAAAAATTTAATTGTTTGACAAATGCTTTATGTTTTCTGCCAATAAAGCCAATTTTAGTAATATTTTATTGATTGAGCTCTTTCTGTCTCTAACATTTAGGACAAGAAAATAACATTCTGTGAAGGTCCCAAAAATAACGTCCCCCACACCTTTAAAGAACTCAACATCGTGACCTTCTGGGAACGTTACTAGACAATGGCCTTAACACCAACAAGGATGTTATAAGAACGTTCTGAGAACGTCACATTTTCCAATAAAGTTTGGTCCCCTTAACATTCTTAGAACATTCTGAATGTTCTGTAAAGGTCCCCCAAAACATGTCCTCCACACCTTTAAAGAACTCAACATCGTGGCCTTCTCAGAACGTTCTGGGAATGTTACTAAACAACGTCCCTAACAATGACAGGGAGGTTATGAAAACGTTCTAAGTACGTCACAATTTCCAAAAAGGTATGGTCCCCTAAAGAAATCAACATTGAAATTTTAAACCTTTAAAGAAATCAACATTGTGACCTTCTCAGAACGTTCTGGGAACATTACTAGAGAACGTCCTTAACACCACCGGGGTTGTTCTGAGAATGTTCTAAGAACGTCACAATTTCCAAAAAAGTATGGTCCCCTAAACATTATTAGAACGTTCTGAATGTTCTGTAGAGGTCTCTAAATAACGTCCTCCAAACCTTTAAAGAACTCAACATTGTGACCTTCTCAGAACATTCTGGGAACGTCAAATTTCTAGCTGGGAAGTTGTTCACAAGAATTAATCGCAATAAATGCAAAATTCAGATGCTGTAGCATGAGTTGTGAGTTGTGTGAATACTCACCAGTCTGAGATTTTGATGTCAGGTTGCAGTTGATCCATGAAAGCAGCACTGTAGCCTTCTTTCTGCAAATCAATCAGCTGTCGCTTCAAACACAACCTGGGGACAACGATATTGGTTAATTCATGCTTTGTTTACATTTTGTATCACTGACTGAAATAGAAAGAGTGCAGAACTTTCTCGAAAGATCTATATATCAAACATACCCATTAAATGCTACATAACATCTGGTGACTGTGTTGTCCGGGAATGGTTTTCTATTTTCTTCCATTAGCCAGCAGGCCTTTCTATTACCCATAATCTCCCATCCTTGCAATCCAGCTAGTCAAAAGCAACCAAATAATAACAAAAAAGATTAATGTGCATCCATTTATTGCACAATGTTAAATACATGGCTCACCTTCAGCTTTGGGATTTTTGAGCAGGTTACGTCGATTCTTATTTAGGATGTAAAACTGACACCAGTCCTCTGGGGGTCTGGAAGCATCACAGGGCTGAATTCCCTCTCTCCTACAGCGCCCTTTCCAGTGTGCAGCACTGTCCACTAGCTCTTTCCACTCATGACACACCAGACGACACACTCGCACCACCTGATGAGCGGGCAGATTCAGCAAGATCTTCTCAACCACAGCTAGAGGTACTTCTAACTGCACCCCTGAGTCCTGACAGGAAAAAAGATCACCTTTAAAGGGTCACGAAACACCAAAACACATTTTTTGAGCTTTTGACAGTCGTATATGTGTCCCACACTGCTAAAAACACTATTAGGACACCTATATTTCACTAAAAAGTGTAAATTGGTTGTTTTTGCGTTATTTCAAGCAAATTCGTACTTCCTGTTTGAAACGAATTTTTGAAGCTGCGTCACGGTCATGACATAATAGCGTGTATTCCAGCGTGCAGACTGGGCGTCTGTGCCTGAGTGAGCCTTATTACGTCTTACAGTGTGATACATTAATGCATGAGTTAGGCTTGGTTCAAACCAATCAGCGCGCTCTATTGTGCAACTTCATTAATATTCATTTGTGTCACCGTGTTTACACCACAAAGACGCCACGTTGTGTTGGCAAAACAAGCGTGAAGTGTTGCTTTTATAGTTTGCTGCCGTTAAGTTTCGTTTTCATTTTCTCTCTGTGGGAGCTTATCTGGATCACGTGTGGATTAACAGTGTACGCGACGCTCCACACAAATAATTTACGTGTCTAAGGAGGATTATTGTTTACCTGAGAGCTGTTCTCATCTGCAAACGCTGAAATCCGGATTTGCTCGTAGTCTTCTCTTCATAAAGATGCGGCTCTAGTTGCTGGCGATTGTCCTGTCTCTACAGATTTGGTAAGTGAGCGACCAGTGCTCTTTGTTTATTCAGTTTGTTCATATCGAATTAAGTTAACTATAGCACTGAGTGCAGAAATGTTAGCACCACATTTAGTGACCGGAATAACACACGCGGCTTTCTGACGCTACCTGCCGTGTGCATCTAAGTTTCCGGGAAATGCGGAGTTTTTTTTTCTCTCATTAACACACGCGGCTTTCTGATGCTACCTGCCGTGTGCATCTAAGTTTCCGGGAAATGCGGAGTTTTTTTTCTCTCATTAACACACGCGGCTTTCTGATGCTACCTGCCGTGTGCATCTAAGTTTCCGGGAAATGCAGAGTTTTTTTTTCTCTCATTCGCCGTGCGGTATCAAACATTGCATGAAAAATACACGCTTAGAGCAGCTCCTCGAATCAAATATCTCGTTTGTCGCGAGGGGCATGAATGAATTCCCTGAATGAAAGAGCCAAACTGCAGTTAAAGTCCAACATTTATTAATTCAGCAAATAATTCGACTACAGATGTCCATGTAGGTTAAACACCATCGCTTTCTCCTGTCTGTGTGGGTGTGTATTTTGACTCTTCCTCCGACACTCCCCCCTAAACAGAGCTGGACACGCCCACTTTTCTGACTTTTTCGAAAGTAGAGGTGTGAAAACACCCTGCTGAAACGAGGGGGTTTCATGGCCCTTTAAGTTTTAACCCTGTTGGAAATTTCACTTTTGTAACATAGCTGCCAGATTTCAGCTGGTCATCATCTAGTGTTTGTTCCCAGCAAGCATGTTCATGCAGGGCCATGCTGGCTTTTTGCATTCACAGTAAGCTATAGGCAGGCCACATCAAATCTAAACAGGCCCAGTGCGGGCTAGCCCAGGTATGGCCCACATCTGTGGGTTCTATATGATTAGCCCACACTCGTAGACAGCACACATTAATGCCAGGTGTGGCCCAGTTCATTCAGGCAGGACTATCACTTTCAAACTATTACAGCACACCTTGATTATTTGACAGTAGGGTATGGTACGTTGAACTGTATGCCTTCAACAAACTGAGATTCCTGATTTATTTTGTTTTTTTAAAGTCCAGTGGTGTTTGTGAGTAGACTTTACTAGCAGCTATTTTTGTAACACGTATGCCCTTAGCTGTCCACACAAACAGGAGTATTTTATTATTAAAATATTAGGGGAGTTTTACCTTTATTTTACTGGAGAGTAGAGAGGGGGGACAGGAATGAATGGGAAGCAGAATGGTAAGGACAGGCAAAGGACCTTAAGCCAAAAAATTGTGTCATTATGAGGACATTCTTGGTATTGCAACTAGTCAGCGCACTTATCCACTCTAGTCTAGGCTATTAGCACTGACGAACATGGGTATTTTTAAAAACACATTTTTCCATTGGCCGTTTTTCCACACAAAAATGCAGTATCAGGTGACTGAAACCAAAATTTTCAGAAAACTCCCGCCAGTCTTAGGAATTCAGAAACTCCAGTTACAGTGTGTAATGTAGTGTAATGTTTATTTATATGTTACATTTATTGTGTATGACCATACACCTAAAAAGCTTCACAATCATCAGGGGGGTCTCTCCACTCCACCATCAGTGTGCAGCATCCACTTGGATGATGTGACGGCAGCCACAGGACAACGGTGCCAGTGCGTTAACCACACACCAGCTACTGATGGAGTGGAGAGACAGTGTATGGGAATGTTTGGGAGGCCATGATGGGTAAAGGCAAATTGATGGAATTTGGCCAGGACACCAGGGTTACACCTCTGCTCTTTACGAGAAGAGCCATGAGATTTTTAATGACCACAGAGAGTGAAGACCTCGGTTCACATCTCATCCACAAGACAAAGCTCACTGACAGTCACAGTATAGTGTCCCCATTATTATACTGGGGTATTAGGACTCACACAAACCACAGTATTGAGAACCTTCTGCTGGCCTCTCTAACACCACTTCCAACAGCAACCTGGTTTTCCCATGTGTTCTCCTGAATGGTTCGAATTTATACCTTCTAATTCATCTCAGCATGAATCAACATTTATCCTTTTCTCATCATCTTGTTTCTCATTATTTTTATTAAATATAATTATTTGATTATTTGAATGAGTATTTAACTTTGAATTGATTTTAATTAATGAATAAGTTAACATTGCTTAATATAAGAATGTTCAGTGCATTTGCCTGTCTCTTTATAACTATTTTCAGAAACCAAAAAACTAGGTCAGAGGTCATGGAGACCTTGCGTGGAACTGAGGGCTGAGGACTGGAAGCAACTGTTTCTATTGTTATTTCTATGAGTTAATACTTTCTAAAATGTCTAAAGTGATTTTGCTATTTTTACGGT